CATCATCATCATCATCATCATCATCATCATCATCATCATCATCATCACCATCACCATCATCACCATCACCATCAGTCAGAGATTACTTTCAACACACCATTGTGTTATAGTTATATAGTGTAGTGGATGGAGCACTAGATTTGGAGTCAGGAAAAGCTGAGTTCAAATAATTTCTCAGACACTTTGTGACCCTGGACTAGTCCCTTAATCTCTGCCTGGCTCACTTTCCTCACCTGGAAAATGGGGATAATAATAGCACCTACCTCCCAGGGTTGTTGTGAAGATCAGATGAGATTACATTTAGAAAGAGCTTTGCAAATCTTAAAGTGCTTTATAAATTCTATTATTATTAATAATAACAATAATATAATTATTGTCATTGGTACATCCTGGTAGGATGTAATATATTTAGAAATGTGTATGATCTGCATTTATAGACAGGTTTTCATCTTTTCCTCAAAATAAAGTACACATTTTAGTTGAACAGAAATTTAGAAAAGATAAACTGGTCCTCTATTTGTCTTTTTCTCTTTCTCTCTCCTTCCTTCCTTCCCTCCAGACACAAAGATCAATTGTAGAGAAGGTAGTAGTCTTCAGTGGTAGAGAAAGTTCCTCCCCAGGAGCTCTCTATACTGATGAAATCTTGAATCCATTTTTTCAGAATGCTTGGATGAATTCATAGTTCTACCAACAGTATATCAGTTTATCTTTCTGCAGCCCCTTCAACGTTAACTATTTCTATCTATTGTTATCTTTGCCAATTTACTGGGTGAGAAGTGAAACCTCAGTGTTGTTTTGATTTACATTTCTCTTATTCATAATTTTGAGCAATTTTTCATATGGCTATTAACAGCTTTCAGTTCTTTTGAGACATATTTCATATTCTTTGACTACTTATCTAGTGGGTAATGGGGCTTTCTTATACATCATTTCTTTGTCATCAAAAGCCATAAGATAACACATTTTCCTTTTCTTCTTCTTCAACTCTTAAGGTAATTTAAGAATTTATTTCAAAATTTCAAAACTGCTGATTCTCCCATTTTTCATGTTTCCTTAGAGTATCAGCAAGTTTGTTTTTAGGAATATCAACTATGTAGGATATTAGATTTTTAAAAAATTACTTACCGTGTGTTAGCACAATCTCTGCTGCCACTTACACACAGCTCTTTGACATATGGGAGATATTAGAAGCAGCTGTGATTCAGACTGAAGTGCATTCAGAGAAACATGGAGGGTAGGATTAGTTAGCCTCAGACCAGGTTTACACAAAAGAAAGTGCTTGGTATTGTCAAAAAACTCTGCTCAGGCTCTATTTCTGGTTTGGGGGGTAGGGTTTGGGGGAAATTTAGCTTGGCCTCAGAGCTTATTTCCTGCCTATCCCTTAGGATCTGGTGGATGCTGTACTGCCCAACTTTTTTTTTTTCTGGTTCTTGGACACACTGTGTCCCTCAGAATCTCATTCACTTTGGTATTTCCTGCTTGCTGTGGTCATTTATCCTCCCGTCCTTTTTTCCTACCTCTTACTTCTGGTTCTTACCAACTGACACTTTCCCATTGGGACTTCCACACTGTGGCAGGTCCAGGATTCCATCCAACACTGTGGAGTACTTTGGGCTATAGCCCTTGACTGATGCTATCCTATACTCTGATCTTGGGGGAGGCTATGGATAAGAGATCCCATAGCAAGCAAGGCAAGGCAGCATATATAGGAAGGAAGCAAATGTGACAATGGTTTTTGGAAATGCCTCCATCTCACACCCATGTTGGAGCTGCATTTAGCTAACTTATCTATGCAGAGAGAAATGGTGTTTCTGCTGCTGTTATTTGGGAAACACCAGCTTTCATAACACCATGTACATAGAGCCATGCATTGCTGGAATGTGTGGCTGAGGACATGTAGGCAAGTGCGTATGCCTTTTATTTTTTCCATATAACTGTTTCCACATCTAGTCTAATGCTCTGTGCAAGGAGGTACTCTAACTTTAGCTAAATCACCTTATGTTTATTTTATATATACCCATATATGTACATGCTATACATATATGTACATAAGTCTCAAATAGAATGTAAGTTATTCGAGGGCAGAGACTGTTTTGCTTTTGTATTAATGTACTTAATTTTTTTAATCTGCCTATGTGAAAGCATGGAATCATAGTTTGTATCCTTAAATACATCTGTATATTGCATATATAACATGTATATTATATATACATATATGTTTGGGGGTGGGAAGTGGGATGTCAAGATAAGGTGTGGACCTTAGGATAGCAGATATAGCAGTAGGATGTTGCAGAGTGTGAAGCTACTAATAGGCTTGCCTTCAATTTCTAATATTAAAAAAAAAAACCAAAAACCTGACCTAGTTAATATTTTAGGGAATAGTAAAAAGGTAGATGTGTGATTGTCACTTGAAAAGACACAACTACATAGCCTAAAGGTACATACTGAGACTGATTACTTCTTGTATTAATAATATTCTGTATTTAGTTTACATGATACATGCAGAGGTGCATGTATTATTCCTTCCTGGAGTAATAACACTAGTCAGTGGTTTGATATTATTAAGATCCCTAAATTGTTACAGCTGTAAATGAGCAAACTACAGGGATAATAAGAAGCTAAGTATCTAAATAGTAGTTTGGTAAATAATGAATATTAGTTAGACTAAAGAGAAAAAAAGTAAACAGTTTGCCTTTAACAAATCTTTTACTAAACACAAACCACAAGAGACACCTTGTTTTGCAAAATTACGCTTTGATTTCACTTGGGCTGTCTATAAGTGGGCACAATATGTTGCAACTGTCAACAATTTTCTCTGGCATGTCATTTGAGCCCCAGAAAACTAGTGAATCTGGTTCACTGTGCAAAAATCGACTGTGCTTGATGACTCATTTTCTCTTTACAGAAGAATTAAGTTATTGTTGGTTTGCCGACTCAAGGCAAGGGAAAATATTTATGCCTCTGGTCCTAGAAATGCCTAGGCTTACTCGGATCTGTGTGGAGATGTAGAAATGTCTCTCCTATTTAGGGAAGGAAGCAAAAATGAGTGATAGAAACTCAGTTGTTTGCATGTTATCAGATGACTGTACATAGGTATGCCTGTTGCTTTTGATGTAAAAACAACCCCCCCCAAAAAAAAACAAAACCAAAAACCAAACTACTTGTCCAGTCAATTCTTTTCAAATCCTGAACTTTCATACATATTATGAATGAGTTTGAAGGTCCCTTAAGCAGCCCTAAATCTATTATCCTATGATCATATGATCTCTTAATTCATAAGATCAAAGACTTAGAGTTAGAAGGTTTAGAGTTGAGGTCATCTGCTCCCAATCCCCCTTATTTTACAGATAAAGAAACTTGGGCCAGAGAAGTTGTGATGTCATTACCAAAGCCACATCAATATCAAATGGTAGACAAGAGCTTCCAACTTATGCCCAAAGACTCCTGCCCTGGCTCCCTCCACTGTGCACAAAGAGCCAGTCCCTAGGTAGAGGACAAAGCTGTAAGAGTTTACCCATTCACATAGTTGTTTGTCTTTCCGTCTCCAAAGAGTACCAAAGACTTGGTAAGGTGGTTGTGATTTGCAAGTGAATTGGATTAAAGTGAGGCTGGGCTAGCCAAGTCATCAGCCTCACTCTCTCTTCCAAAGCCATCTGGGTCCAGTGAGAAGACATAGATCAGGACAACTGGAGACGGCCCTGTATGCAGTGGGAGACCTTGACCTTTTTAAGCTAAGGTCCTTTCCAGGTCTCAGTTTGTTTGAGGCAACACCCATTCAGTGATTAGGACCAGGTAAGAAATGAGGCACAAAATGGCCTCTTTTACCTAGTCAAAAAAAAAAAAAAAGCAATCTGGGAGGGGAACACCCTCAGAGTTTCTGGCAAAACAGAAACAATTGCTATTTACATTCACTCTGAGCCATCAGAACCCAAACATGACCAAATGGGGCTTGGCCTTGAACCTACTGTTGGCCAATCAATGTCAGCCAGAGTGATTTGGGTTTAAGGCATGGTCCTTCAAAAAGAAAGCTAGCCAGTAGACCCCAAAATACTTTCAGAAGTTTCAGCAATGAAAAGTTATTCCTTTGAGCTTTTAGCCAGCTGCGCCTTCCGCGTAGGCGGAGAAAAAGGGAGAAGAGGAAATGGACAGGCGGGATTTATTGGCTAGCGTGGGGGTGGAGTTGCTTCTGATTGGATGGCTTTCCTCTCACTCACTCCCTTGAGTTGTTCCAGGCATCTAGGGGAGCGGAGCGTAGATGGTACAGTGACTGCGATTTACGCTATTTGTCGCGAGAATACCCAGACGAGCCCTGCGTTTCGGGGCGCTAATTGGTCAGGTTGCTCTTTACGCCACAAGTTAATCTCCTTGAGCGTCGGCTCCTTCATCCAATCAGCCTTCACTGGGCGGAGCCGGCAGTGACGCACCCCGCTTGGAGCTCGCAGGAAAAGCGCGCGGGCGCGGGGTTTCAAGCTTCCAGAGGAGGTGAATCTGGGCGGTCATGAGCCTCTGGGTGGACAAGTACCGGCCCACCTCCTTGGGGCGGCTGGATTATCACAAGGAGCAGGCGGCCCAGCTGCGGAACCTGGTGAGCGGCCTGCTGGCCTGCCGCGGGGCCGGCGAGAAAGAGCTCGGCCATGGCGGGAGGGAGGACCCGACCCCTTCCCCCAATTTCACTCCCCGATCTGGGAGATGCGCTGGGGGTTGGGAAAGGATGAGAGGGGAGGTAGTCCGTGGGGCCCCTAGTCCTGCCCGTGGGAAAAGGGCCGGAGTCCTCGGGGCCAATTGTGACAGTCAGTGAACTTCCTCCCCTCCCCCCTCCCTTGCAGACTTGAAGGGCAAAGACCTAACCTGTTACACCGCCCCCCACACCCCACTTCAGCTTACGGGTCACATTGATTAGTGGATCAACAAGCGTTTATTTATTAGTCTTTTACTACGTGCGTGACCCTGTGCTAAGCGCTGAGGATATAAAGAAAAAACAACCGTAATAAAAAATAACAAAACAGTTCCTTCAAAGGGGATTAACATATACACAGAGATAAACAAAATAAGTATAGAATAGATGGAAGACTGTTTTTTTTTTTCCTTGCCTTGCCTAATTTCTTGCCTAAAAAGATTTTTTTTTGGAGACATGATCCCCCAACTTAAACCTAGGACTTTGCTTTCACAAACAACATTCTGCTTTGTGGGTAGGAAAGCTGAAGGACAAAAATTAGATGGTTTCTCAAAGGCAGCTTAACAAAAGGATTGAGGGTGTCACTTACTAGGAAAAAAGTAAAAGTGAAACACTGAGTATCCATGACACCATGAAAAATGGGGGAGGGGGTTGGGATAGGTTATACTGGGGATACATGTACTCACATAGGTAATACAAGGCAGAATGTGATAAATGCCATAAGAAAATAGGGGGATAATGTTACGATTTTCCAGGGGAAGATGCAAACAGTTCTAGTTGCAAGGGATCAGTGAACGTGTTAAGCATATATCATGTGGCATTTAAGCTGGGCAATACTTTGATAAATTGAGATGGAAGGAGGGTGACGGAACACAAACAGAATAATGTTAATTCATATGTAGCACTTTAGGTTTTGTTCAGAACTTTTCTGGTAATATCCCTGTGCAGTAGGTAGTGCAAGTATTATTATCTTGACATTACAAAATAAGGAAGAGAAGCAATGTGGAATAGAGGACAGTAGCTAATAACTATTTATAGAACAGTTTTGTGAAATGCTTTACAAATATTATTCATTTTATCCTTTCAACAAACATGGGAGATAGGTGCTATTATTAATCCCATTTTACAAATGAAGAAATTAAGGAACACATAGGTTAAGTCACACAGCAAGTAGGTGTCTTAAAACTATATTTGATGAACTCGGGTATTCCAGATACCAGGTCCATAGCCCTGTTCACTGTACCTCCTAGCTTCCTTAGAAGCCAAGAATTTCTGGCTGTCTCAATCTGGGTAAGTCACTTAACATTTCAATGGTCTCAGCAACTGTAAGAATATAAATTAGAGTACTGACCTGAATTATTAGAGTGTTCTCATTGGAGAATTCCCTATACCAGTGACATTACAGGTCCAGCCCCTATCCTTGATCTATAGAAGAGAAAACTAAGGCCTTGAAAGATTAAGTGATCACAACTAACAAACATCTCAGGTGAAATTCATACTGGGGTCTCCTCATCCCCAACAGTGCACTTTTCACTGTTCCAAAGTTCAGAAATAGGATAGCATAAAGCTGAGATGTTCTTTTTTGTCTAGCCAGTTGTGGGAAGAGAGACAAATTGTCCAGTTTGACTAAAGTATAAATTATATGATTTGAAAACCTGAAGAGAAGAAGTAGATTGAGGCCGTCTTACAAAAATACCTTGGATACCAGACTGATGAGTTTGAACTTAACTCTGTTGACAGTCACTGGGGAATTTTAAACAGCAAAATGACATAGCTTTGTTTTAGGAAGGTTATTTTGGCAACTATATGCAAAAATCTATGGGGAAGGAGGAAAAGGAGAGGAATGCTCTTGGTTGGGACCTGGGTTGCATTTTATTTATTTTTTTGCATCCTTAGGATTTTAATCTTGAGAGATTTTCATCCCTCTAAAGATGATTGCCCTGTCTCAGGCTATGAAGCCCTACATCTTATCTCTGAACTATTTGAAATCACTCTTCTGCATTGGCTGGTATACAAGCCAGATTATTCTCAAAATTCCTGGCCTAATCTGTCACAAACTCCAAGATGGTTTGACTACTTCCTTCTAAGATTCCTATCTTCTTAATGTTATCAATGATTTCTTTCTTATTTGTCAGAATTAAGTCCAGAATAACAGTATCTGTTATTGTTTCCTCCATTGTTTCTAAAAAAAAAATTATCAGCAAAACAAATCAGTTATTTTTCGGCTGTTCTGCTTTTAGTAGAAAGGAAATATGTGAATAGATGATGTCTCCCATCACAGGTGTGTATCTTACCTCAGCTGTCAGCATTGTGACCTATGTTGTGAATTCATCGATTTCTTTCAGACGTCCTGGCAGCTTGTAGTTTACATCCACCATTATATTGATCTTTGATTTGCACCCAAATGATCATCACTATACTTTTGTCTCACATCAGATCCAAAGATTGCTACTAAGTGAACACTTTTTTGATCTATGTAACTTAAATTTCTATAGCATCTTAATTTTCTATTGTTCCCATGCCTCTCCCATCTAATCTTTTCTTCTTGAATGTGGTATATTATTCTGTTACCTAATCAGGAGTCACATTGCACCAGGAGCCCAAACTTATGAATCTGAGTAGGGATTCTTATCTTAGGTTTTGTGAACTTTTTTTGGTAATATTTTGATAACGCTTTTGATGTAATTGGTTTATTTTGTAATTCTATGTATGTTATTTTATTCATTTAAAAACATTATTCTAAGAAGAGGTCTATAAAATTCAATAGTCTGCCAAAAGTGTCCATGATACAAAAAAGATTAAGGAATGTTTCTTTGAGGTGGTAACTTAGTGGTTACATTTTTATTTAAAAAATGCTGCTGTTGCTTAAGATATTTTCAGAACTTCTGTTTTATAATTTCCTTCAGAGCCAGCTTATGAGCCACACAAGAAAATTCATTGTTATTTTATAGTTACATCTTGGTTGTGATCCAAAATACTAATATTCATAGACTCATTCAGCCACTTTACCTACTTGACTTGGCTCTGAGTAATTTTGACTGTTTACAAAACTCAAATGTATCTCCAAAGGTAAGAGTAGACCCAGGCTGAAAGACAGATAGCAATAGGAAAGTTTAAAATGTGTTTAGGAGCTGAAGGGGACCCTAAAAGGCCCTGTGGGAAGCTATAAATGGCTTTGGTGATGATGTTGGTCCTGTGTTGTTAGAGTTCTGGAAGCATGCTGGGTCTATTTCCTGTATTCTATTTGATTCTTCTTAGTAGATAGTGCCTTTAAGGGTACATCACAGAGATGATGTATCTTGCTCACAAGGAAGCCAAGATAGAGAAGTGTATGGAAGGGATTGGCATGGCAGGGGTGGGGTCCTCAGACCATGAGGGCCTCATGCATGGTTTCTGAGGCTCTGGAATCATTGTGAGAATAAAGAAAATTCACTGCCATCTTCCTTAGTATCAGTCATTTGTGTGATATGGAAGCGAAGTCATCCAGTGCACTTTTTTTTTTTTTGGCTAGGCAATGGGGTTAAGTGACTTGCCCAGGGTCACACAACTAGTAAGTATTCATGTGTCTGTGGCTGGATTTGAACTCAAGTCCGCCTGAATCCAGGGCTAGTGCTCTATGCATTTTGCCACCTAGCTGCCCCCCATCCAATGCACTCTTAAGCTGCATTATGAGAGGTATAGTGTTCCAGTTCAGGGAGGAGATAAAGCTGCTATACCTATCTTTCCCAGACCATGTCTGGGATATTGTGTTTAATTTTTGGGTGCCACATTTTAAGAAGGGCATTAGTTAGCTACAGCCTTTCTGGAGCAGGGAAACCAAGATGGTGAAAGGCCTCATGTTCATGCCGTATGAAGATGATCTGAATGAACTGGAGATGTTTTAGCCTGGGGGAAGGAGAAGACTTAGGGGGTATATGATAGATGTCTTTAAGTATTTAAAAAGCTGTTATGTGAAAGAAGGACTAGACTTCTGCTTGGCTCCAGAAGGCATAAGTAGGAGCCAGAGTGGTAAGTTGCAGAGACAGATTTGGCTTAATGGGAGGAAGACCTAATGACAATTAGCTGACTGGTCTGCAGTTAGTGAGTTTTCTCTCATTAAAGGTTTTCAAAGGCACCATAACCAGTTGTCATGCATATTATAGATGACGTTTTTTTACTAATGAGTAGACTAAGTGGCTTCTGAGGTCCGTTCCAATTATGATTGTGTTTTGCTCTCTTTTGAGAATATTCAAGTATCATAGCATCTTAAAAGAAAAATCTTATGTAAAAAGAACTTCTTAGAAAGCCTAATTGCATGAAGAGATAAGCATAATTTATTCATACCTGAAAAATATTACACAACATATTGGCTATGGCTAATGGGATTGATTTTTAATGTGATTAGATTGTGATTAATGCAAGTTCAAATAGTATGAAATTTGATTTAGTGTGAATTATAAAATGATACCAGGTTGTGTTTAATGTTAGCCAAAATTCAATTAATGCTATTCATGCAAACTAATTGAGGGTTTAATATGCCACTACAGCCTACCATTTTATAGCATATGGATGTGATATGTACCATATTATGAACAGTTGTGTTAATTTTAAAAAAAAATAGCCCTTAACAAAAGAAAGAAAACTTCAGATGGAAACGTTGCCAGTGCAAAAAAGAAGAGAAGCTTTTTATTAGAATTAGAACAAAAATTTTATGTATTTGAATAGTATGATCATAATAGTACAAGATGTTGATATATCTGAATCTATGGTACAGACTATCATAAAATAGGAAGTCAAAATAAAAGAAAGACAAAGATGCATCAGCCTCTTCTGGTTTTCAGACAACTATAGGGAATATACGTTACTACAATGATAGAAATGTCTTTTAGTTATATGGATTGAAGATTGCAGTCAAAAATGCATTCCCTTTAGAGCAGACATTCAGATAAAAGCTTCAAGTTTATTTAAGGCGGTGAAAGAAAATGGAAATACAGTAGCTAAATAACCTGATGTTTTGAAGAAAATGCTCAAAAGTAGATACAACACTGATTAACAAAGTTTTGATTTTGATGAAACAAAGTTATTCTAGAAAAGAATGCCTTCCAAAATTTGTTTCTAAGAAAGAAAGAAAAAAAAAACAAAACTGAACCTGGATTTAGAATATCTAAGGATCACCTAACACAACATCCATTGGGAGGTAATGCAGAAGAGGATTTTAAATTAAAACCACTACTTGTTTATTGACCTTGAAATCCTTGTGCTCTGAGAGGTTATAACCACTGATCACCTTCAGTTCTTTGGTAGTTGGATAAGAAAGCATGGGTGATATGCTGTTTTCAAAGTTGATTTCTAAGTTATTTTAGTGCAGTTTTTGAAAAATATCAAAAAGACAGTAATATCACATTTAAGGCATTTCTAATTTTAGAAAAGACCCCAGGCCATTCAACTACTTGTTTTTTGTATGGGAATATGAGTATGCATATTTGAGACATGGATAAAGCTCTATCTGTCCCTACCAGTGTGTATATGAAGATTTAAAGAAAGAGGAGGCAATTTAGTCTATGTGGTTAAAATATTTTAAATCACAATACTGATGTTTTGTTATATCATTGGAGTAGGCTTATATTTAGATTATGTTAATTTTTTTTTAGTTTTGAAAATTTTGCTTTTTGTAACTACTCTATTTGTAACACACTTGAATAAAAATAAATTTTTCTTATCCTTTGCTTTTATGTTAGTAAGCAGATAAAAAAATTTATTTAAAATTTTTTTTTCATTGCATGTTTCCATTGGGCTAGAACCAAAATATGGTACCATATTTTACATATAATTATTACTTGGAATAGTGTGAATTCAAATAATATGACCACTTCAGGGAATTCATAGTTCTCACTGTTCTAATTTACCAAAACTTATACACTGAAATGATGCCTACAAATCGCAGTTCAGTGTATTTTGCTTACTGTTTTCAGAGTTGAATCTGGGTGTTGATTAACAATGTTACTATAGAAAATTTTATAAATGGGCTTTTGTTGCCTAATTTCAAGAATGGTCACAGAGGCCATTTATAGTTACTTTAATCTTATTTTTAATTAAGTCTTCATGTATTGCCTCTGGCAGGTAGCATATTGTAGTGGGAAAAGCATCAGTTGTAGAATAGGAAAAGCCATTTCATCTCTCAAATGAGATAATATATTTAAAGTGCTTTGTGTACTTTAAAATGCTATGTAGCTATTATGTATAAAATTATGAGTTTGACTTAAATCATTAAGTTAGATTAGGAAAGATTACTGTAAGTAATCTAATCTGTCCTCATTTTGCAAAATGAAGAACCTGAGTCCTAAAAAATTAAGTGACTTGTGTAAGGTCACACTGCACATAGTTAATGGTGGAGATGAATCTACGTATAACCCTGTCTTCAATTTACTGTTCTTTTCACTAAACCATGATACCTCTCAAAAATGAATTAACCACCTCCAAGGTACCCACCAATTCTAATTTTTTAAAAAGTTAGTATGTGGGATGTCCTTGAGCATGTCTCTTCTCTGAGGTCACACAGTCACTGTGGATAATGACAGATACTACAATGGGATTAGATGATTTTGCTTTTTTTTTTTTTTTTTTTTTTTTGGCTTTTTAGTTGGAGCATTTCATCCTTCCCCTCTCTTTTAGGAAGCCAGGTGGCTCAGTGAATCAAGTACTAGGCCTGGAGTCAGGAAGACCTGAGTTCAAATTGTGCCTCAGATATTTCCTAGCTGTGGGGATAAAAGCACTTACCTTACTGGGTTGTTGTGAGGATCAAATGAAATGATATTTGTAAAAGTGGTTAGCATAGTACTTGGCACACAGTAGGCTGTTAATAAATATTTCTTCCATTCTACCTTAATAATTGTCTTTTTTTTTTTAATTGTGGGAAAGTAAGTGTAAAATGGAAAGAAAGGTCATCTAAAAAATATCTGGGAATTTTAATGGACTACAACTTCAGTATGATTCAAAAATGTCACATAATAGCCAGAAAAAGTTAATTTGATCTTAAAATGAATTAATATCAGGATAGTGTCTATTTTCAGAATAATTAGAAGGTACTCTAATAAGACAAAATCTGCATCATTGTATTCAGTTCTCTGCAGCTTAGTTTTAGGAAGGAAATTGGTGATTTGAGGAGCAAGAAGAGGTTGACCAGGATAGTGAGAAGACTAATGCCATATGAAGATTCCCAAGTTGAAAGAATCCTGGACAGTTAGCCTGGAGGTAAAAAAAAAAAAAAAAAGAGAAGATTTAAGGTGTGTGGTAGAGATACTACTGTCTTCAAGCATTGAAGGCTATTATGTGGAAGGTGGTTTTGAATTGTGTTGCTTGACCTCGAAAGTCAGAATCAGGAACAATGGTGGGGGTGGATTGCAGAGATTTTGATTCTCTATAAGGAAACCCCTTTTGAGTGGTTACAGGTTTCTTCTAGAAGGTCCTGCAGTGTTTTGGGGTTTGATGGAACTAACACCCTATCGTCTGCAAACAGAATAATCAGAAGGAAATGACTGTTCTTAGGAAATTCCTCTTTGACTTGGATTCTTTGCTAGATCTCTTCCATTACAGTAGTGAATACCTTTGGTGAGCATATATCTATCTCTATTTTATGTCTTGCTTGATGTTTATGATCAGAGGATGATTCAATAAGGTTATCTGTGTTGTATCTTTCAAGGAATTTTGAATGGCTTAATATATGGGTGCAGAATACCTTCTTGAAAGTCTTTAGGATGGTGTTTTGATGTATTCCGTCAAATGCTTATTTTATATTCAACAAACAAGCACACTGGGAACTTTTATTTGTTGCATCTTTCAGTCAATTTCGTGAGGCCGTGGAATACTGCTTGGAAAAGCCTGTTTGTCTCCCCTTTGGAAAAACAAGTGAATGAAGATCGTTTGTTGTTCATATTATGGCACGAAGTTGGACATTCTGTACAGTGTGTCCATTAGTATGTGTGGATACATGTATATGTGTGTACATTTGTGTATATATATGCATACATATGCGTGCACATATTATACACGCTGCACCCTCTATATTATTCAACAATGTGATATGACAGCTAGAAAAGTGAACATGGAGTGTGAGCGTGTTCATGCATGTGTGCATTTGTGAATACATATGTGTATATGTGTATCTGGAACAGGCAGTGAAAATGAACAAATGAGTTGGGCTCAAAATTAAACAGGAGCAGAGCAGACTGTAATGAAACTGTAAAACTCCAATGACTCCATGCTTCTCCCATAGACAAAGGCCCACCTTTTTTAATACTAATATTCTCCCGATGTTATTATACACCTTTCAGACAAAGAACACAACAGCATCTGATATGAATATCACATAGAGGGGTAATTCAGAGGCAGGTGTGTGATGGTTGTAGACTGGTTATAATATATGCCAAATAAGGAACTTTGAATTAGAATTTCCTGGACAAAGGATCAGGATCAGGGAAATGTGCAATAGGAGTTGAAGATGGCATAGGCATGTGGTGAAGGTGAGAGTTGATAAGTGGACAGTTAGTTGGTCAAGTGCTTCACTGGTATGCTCATATTCTCAGAAGAAAGAAAGTAAAACCCTGTAACATGGTAGGTAGAGCCCCTCTGGTGAACTTAAGGGAAGACATGAATGAAGAGCCATAGAGAATGAACAGGCATGGCCAGGTGTGATATTCAAATCTATTGGAATATAAGGAAAAAACTTCATGGGACTAGATACTACAGGAATCACAGGTCTTCCATTAGAGCTTGGATACATATATATTGGGGATCTTGCTGATGGAAGAACTTTCTGTGGGGGTATAATTTGAAGTAGAGATTTTATGAAGTCCCTTCCAACTCAAGATTCTATGATTCTTATGATTCGACTGAGGTTTCACGTTCATCTTCTTCAGTAATGATTTATTATTAAAAAATTCTCTATATCAATCAAAAATCAACTTTACAGGGAACAAATATATAACTTTTCCCACAAGGAGATATGTCGAAATCATTATTTCTTTGCTTTTTCCAGGTACAATGTGGGGACTTCCCTCATCTCTTAGTGTATGGACCATCAGGTGCTGGGAAAAAGACGAGAATTATGTGTCTCCTGAGGGAACTCTATGGAGCTGGAGTGGAAAAGCTAAGGATTGAACATCAGACCATCACAGTAAGCTCTTTTATCTCTGAGAAACTTCATGCATTTGTAGGTAGAAATTCACTTAGCATCACAGGTTTTAGAGCTGGAAAGCACTTTAAAGGTCATCCAACCCTCACATTTTGCAGATAAGGAAACTGAAGCTTAGAAAGGTTAAAGGGTTTTCCCAAGGTCATGCAACTGTAAGCGATAGAGTCAGGATTTGAATTTTAGTCCTCTGTCTCCAAATCCTCTCTCTTTCTATTTCACTGCCCTTATGTGTATGTCCATAAGATGTGATATATCAGAGAGATATGTGAACCTTAGTTTCTTTATTTGTGAAAGTTAAAGTTATAGCGTCTTCCCACAGGTGCTTAAGTCATTGTTTTGAGTGAATACGTGTGTATCTTAACTCATAAAGGTGCTCAATAAACATTTGTTAAACACCTATTATATACAAGATGTTGTGATAGACATTATTCAAGATACTGCATTTGTTAAGGAGAAGTAAAAGTTCAGATAAGATGCAGCCCCTGCCTTCTGGGAGCTTACAGTCTAGTAGGGGTATAAAAAACCAATCCAGATTGAACTCTAATATACTTTAGAAGCAGTTAAATGATGACTTGGTGTCAGGAAGACCTGAGTTCAAATCCTGACTGATACTTACCAGCTGTGACCCTGGGCAAGTCACTTAACCTCTACCTGCCTTAGTTTCCCCCTTTTAAAATGGGGATTATAATACCACTTCCCTCCTAGGGTTGTGGTGAGGATAAAATGAAATAACATTTGTAAAATGCTTTGTAAACCTTGAAGTGCTATATAAATACTAGTTATTATTATATCATATAATTTTGCATATCATGGCTGTAAGACAGAATGATAGAATTTAGAACTGAAAGGAACTTTAAAGATCATATATTTCTGTCATTAGGGTCTTATAATCAAGTAGGACAGATGTACACAGATATAATTAATAAACACTGCAGAATAAGTTCATAAGAGTTGAATAAAGTGCTATGAAGAGTTCAGAAAGATTATTTAGTAATGGAGGTTATCAAGAAAGGCTTCATTGAAGAAGATATCACTTGATGTTCTTATTAATATATAGCATTTTATTTAGGTCATTGAGAAATGAAAACACTTGCTAGTCATGGATTTTATGTGTGTATGTGTGTTTTACCATGGCAAAAGACAAAATCAAATCTTTTCCTACCCTATTACATTCTGTCAGAGGATAAAACATGTACACATGCGTAAGTGAAGCATATATACATACATATATATATATATATACACACACATATATGAAATAATATTTTTGGAGGAAAGGTGACTAAAACTTTTTGGGAGTTCTTCAGGAAAAACTTCGTATAGGAGATGGCGTTTGAGCTAAGCTTTGAAGGTCCCTTATACAGCCTAAGAGATCAGGTGAGGAGAGGAGGGCATTCCCTCCCCATGAAAAAGAATCATCTCTATAACATATCCAACAAGTGGTTATCTAGCCTCTTGAAGATCTCTAGTGAAGGGAACTTGCTACCTCCTGGGTTTCAGACTTGGGTTTGAAAACATAACTTCACACGTGCAAGATGAGTTGAGGCTGGTTAGCAGTTTATTTGAAGATAATCTCAAAGTTTTAGTGGATTTCATTTAACCATAAGCCACTCTACTAGATTTCAAGGAGAACTCCGTAAACATCGTAACTAAAACTTTGAGATTATTTTGAAATAAACTGCTAACCAGCCTCAGTTCGTCTTGCATGTGTGAAGTTACTTTTTCAAACCCAAGTATAAAATTATACATTCATCCATATCACCTTTCATGTTATTAAGTGAGTACTTGAATTGAACTGATTGAGGCATATGAAAGGAGTAATAATACACTAATCTTGGCCCTTTATTTTCTCATAACAACTCTAAAGTTAGTAGAGTATATGTTATTAAATATATGTTTGGAATGGTTTGAGTTAGCTACTCCTAAATTGAATCTTTCATATCATAAAAGTGACACTAGGGAATAATTCCTTGTCCTTAATCTACAAATTAATCTGTGAAATATATTTCATGTATATATTTTCTACACAGACCCCATCTAAAAAGAAAATTGAAATCAGCACAATTGCAAGTAATTACCATCTTGAAGTCAACCCTAGGTAAGTTATTAATAAATGACCATTCACTTAAAACATTATTTGCTAAATGATTTGATTTGTAAATCAGTTACTACTTCTGCATTCTCTCAGTGCCTTCAAAGGTAGATTTTTTTTAAAGATATCATGTATGCAACTTGAAATAAAAGTGACCATGAATAGATTAATGTCATTTAATGAATATTACTGATATATTACATGATACAAACAAACATTTAGCTTTCCTTGCACGGGACACAGTGCTTTGTAGATCATTTGTCATATTGTAAGCTCTGAAATAGTTTTTGTATTGAATCAAATCATCTGTATTTGGAGATCTGACTACAGAACTCTCTCTAAAGTTTAAAATATGACTTGTGGGAATATATAAAATCTGAAATTGAATTAGTGAAAAAGTTCATTTTTACTGCCATCTTATAGTCTATTTTAGGGAATGGAAATCTCCATGTAAGTAGAAATAAATTGACCAACATTTGAGTATTTGCTATGTGTTTAGAGTGGTATTCGGTGCTGTAGAGTAAGGATTCTTAACCTTGTTGTGTGTCATGGGCCTCCTTGGCAATCTGGTGAAGCCTATGGACCCCTTTCTCATAATACTGTTTTTAAATCCATAAATTAAAATATAGAGGATTAAAAAGGAAACCAATTCTATTGAAATAAAATTATCAAAATATTAAAAAAGACAAGTTCATAGGCCCCAAGGTTAAACATTCCTACTGAAGAGGACAGACAAATCTAAGATCTATTTTGTGCCATTACAGAGCTTATGATACTTTGGAGTTAACACTTAGGTGCTAAACTATATATTCCTGACTGCACGAAATACAAAAGGAGTTCTACAGAAACATCGGTTATTGTGGTCTGGAGGCAAGGGAATGTTTGAAGCTAGATCTGAGAGTTGGGTAACATTCAGATAATCATAAGAGAGAGAAGAGGGAAAATATTCTAAGCAGGAAAGACAGCCCTGGCAAGTGAGCAGGTAGCAATGACTATGGCTCATGAAAGGAAAATGAGAGTAGAGATCTGATTGGAAGAGAAATTGAGACATTCATAATTAATTCAGTGATAATAATAAGTAATAATAAAAATAATAATGATTAACAGTAAGATACTCATAATTAACTTGATGAGTTAACCCATCTCTGCCCTGTTTTGGTGATGGAAACATGAAGTCAATCATTCAGCCCTTATCAAGATGATCACAAAGATCAAAACTATATTAAAAGGATTGATTAAAAGAGCTAGAGATGATTAGCTTTGAGAAGACACACTATCTTCCATTATTGAAAGGACCCAAGGACCACCTTTTACATGAAGACTTACTTGATTGCCCCAACAGCTAGTGCACTTCCTTCCCATTTTATATATTTTACATATAATTTTTTTAAATTTTATATATTTCACACACACACACACACACACACACACACACACACACACACACACAC